GGGGGCGGCACCGGGAGAACCTCATCCCACCCTGCGGTGCCTCCGCGTGGGACCGGGGCTGGGAACCACCCCGCGGTGCGAGCGGCGGCCCAGGCCCGCGGGGGGTGTCGGGGGGGGAGACACGGAGGAAAAAGGCGGGAGCGGTGTCGGCACGTGCCGGGCTGCCTCAGCCGCGAGCGCGCCGCAAAATGGCAGCCGGCGGTCTCCTGTGGAGAGGCCGGAGCCTGCTGGTCAAAACTGAGGTATAGAAGATGACAGCCCGTGAAGGGTGTGAGTAGAGAAGACGCCCGGAGTGCAGAGATGAGTTAGCCCAAAGAATGGCAGAGTCACAGACTGGTTGAGATTGGCAGGGACCTCTGGAGGTCATCATCTCTGATCCCCTGCTCAAGCAGGGCCACCCAGAGCCGGTTGCCCAGGACTACATCCAGGTGGGTTTTGAATATCTCCAAGGATGGAGACTCCACCACCTCCCCGGGCAACCTGTGCCAGTGCTTGGTCTTCCTCACAGTGACAAAGTGTTTCCTGATGTCCAGAGAGGCCCTCCTGTGTGTTGGTGTGTGCCCATGGCCTCTGGTCCTGTCACTGGGCACCACTGGGAAGAGCCTGGCTCTGTCCTCTTTCCCTGCTCCCTGCAGGGGTTCGTACACATTGATGAGATCCCCCTGAGCCTTCTCCCCAGGCTGAACAGCCCCAGCTCTCTCAGCTGGGAATCCCAGGAGAGATGCTTTCTTGTCCATCATCCTTGTGGCTCTTCGCTAGACTCTCTCCAGTATGCCCATGTCTCTCTTCCACTGGAGCGCCCAGCACTGGACATGGTCCTCCAAGTGTGGCCTCACCAGTGCTGAACAGAGGGGAAGGGAAATTACGTTTAAGCTGAGACAGTTTTGGTAGACCTGTTTTAAAATCGAATTGTTTACTTGTATAAATACCAAAATCAGGGAAGTCCTCCTTAACCAATGACAAAAAAAAAAAAAGCTATAGAGCACACCAGTAATTTATAAAACATCACCTGCATAAAAATGTGTGAATGATAATTCTAGGCAACGCTGGTAATGTTGTGTGTGAGTGGGGTTTACTAATATTTTCTGGTATGCGATCCTTTTTCAGGTATCCAATGGCTTTGACAAACTTTCTCTGTGATGGTGTTGGGCATTTTTTTGGGTCTGTCTTAAATGAAAGTTTTGAGAAATTTTTAACCAGCACATTTCAGCTGCGTCTAGCTTGTTGCTTTGCCAAGTTTTTGAGAGAAAACAATAGGATAGCCGCTGTTGGTGATTGCCTTCCCTCCCTTCCCTCTCCCATCCTTCATGCTTTGCATTATGTTAGACTTCTATCAATTTTGATAGAAGTGGATAAATTTAAGACTAGATGAAAGGTAAGTATCTAAGGATGGGAACAAGCCAGGGGAACTGTATTGTTAGCACACCGTAGAACTTGATAAAAATCCGGTGAGGATGAAGAAGGAATAGATTTTGCTGGATAAAGAGACAGCATTCAAAAAGGATGAACAAAGTGCTCATTAGGTGGATACTGGCCCACTGAACGAGGTGCAAGTCCTATGGAAAGTGAGCCTGTGATCATGCAGTTACAAAATGACATCACAATTCATGTCACAGAAGTCAAATTACCATTGCACGTTACAGAACTTCCTACTTTTAATGTCTGAGTAACAATATT